ACCTAGGAGCAAGGCCCTGGGAAAAAGGGTTGGTATGCAAAACTATGCTAATGGAGAACCAGCAACCAGGACCCAGCTGGCTGCCTTGGGGCTCCATAGGTTGTAGGGTGACACTGGAGAGAGCCATGCAGCCTTCCAGCAGAGAGGCCCCTACCAGACTTCAACTGAGCTAATGACTACACCATTCAATGGAAGCAGGTTGTGGGGGGGGCAGTTCCCCACAAATAATGAGCAGTGACAGAGTGAGCCAGGACCTCACTTTGGTTTAAATAGTTGGTACAAGACCAGACTGACATCTGTGCCTGGTGGGGTTATGTGAAGCCGACCCCATTTTCAGGCCTCAGCTTCCTTCCCTCCACAATGAGGGCTATATGGGACCTGAGCCCCTTCCTTTTCTGGGTCCTAGGATGGCCCCTTCCAGGCAGAGGAATAAAAAGGAAACTCCCTCTCTTTAGAAGATCAGCCCTGGGAAGAATTGGGGGGTGGGAATCCGAATGGGCAGGCCTCTGATCCCATGGCGGGAACCAACCTTGACCAATCAAGGCTCACCTTCTCAGCCCCGACAGCTATGGGCTTTCCTAGAACACATACTTCTACTTACTGCCCTTCTCCTCCTCCAGCAATTTCTTCATAAAGCTAATGCCTTGGTGGCGAGAGAATGGGGGGACTTGTTTTCCAGGGAAAGTGTTGTCAACTATGTCCTTTACCCACTCCCTACACACACACACACACACACACACCCTTGGGCCTGAGGCAGGGCTCTCTCACAGCTGGGCTTTTCCCTGAAACGTGCTTTTATTTACACAAAGAAAAGGGGTAAAACCCTACTGTGCACCAGGTACTGCTGAAAGCTCTGAGGATGAGCAAGACTGACACAGACTGCACCTCCACAGGACAACCAGACCAGAGGACGACCACAGTACACCCAGAGTAGTACACTGTGAGGTTGCTGTAAGGACACTGTAGAGGGAAGAGAAGTTGAGGGTGTGGCCAGTGACTGCTGGCAAGGGGAGGAGAGGTAATAGGTGAGCAATCTGAAGTGTAAATACTGGAGCTGAGACTTCAGCCAGGAAGAAAGGGCCACCTGTCAACCTCTGGGGAATAGCAGCTTGGGCAGAAGGGCCGGCAGGTACGAAGATTCCCCAGCTGGGGCCGTTCTCGCATGTCCGAGGGATGAGACAAGCAGTGTATGGAGCACCACCAAGGGAGTATGGTAAGTGCTGGTCACAAGGAGGCAGGCACTGCTGGGGTGCAACTGGGAAGCAGGAGTGCTTGGAGCAGGGGTCATGCCCCAGGAGATCACAGGGGAGCAAGAGTGGTCCCTTCCTATTGTCACCTAGTTAACTCCTCATCCTTCAGATTCCAAACCAGAGGTCAATTCCTCTGAGAACCCCACCCTACGGCCTCAGGTCAGCTCCCTGGTTAGTCTCCTAGTTTCCCCCTTCACACCTACCTCCATGGTGATTTCATGTGTATCTCTGACTATCTAACATCTGTCTTGCCCAATAGACTCTGAGTTTCCTGAGGGTAGGTACATATCTGCCTTTGCACACCTTATGTCCCCAGCACCATGAGTAAAAGCTGGCACACAGTAGGTGCTCAATCACCTGGGTCTCCCTCCTCCGGGTCCCCCATGCCTGTGTCTACCCCTCCCATGGAACCCAGCCTGATGGTAAACAGCAGCTGACACCTACTCACATACACACCACCCCAAAAAGCCAGGTAGGTGTTGTCCTTCGCTGTACCCCAGAGATCACCTTCCACCAGATAGTTGTGCAAAAAACAGCTGCACTCATACGAACCTCACCCTGCCACTCAACCTACTCAAAGTCTGCCCCTCCAGTCTGAGCTCAGTAGAGTCTGTACCCTGAAGGTATTCATGTCAGGAGCTGAGCACTCCCTCCTCCCCCAGGTGAGTAGCATCACCTGCAGCTTTGCAACAGGGGATTATAAAGATGAATGGTTATATTTTGCAAACCAAGGTCAATATTCATAGGCAGGAGAGTATAACTGGGAACAAAGCACTGGGATGTCTGACCTGTGGTGTGGCCAGGGAAGTTGGAAAACTTAGGTCCATATTTTGTGAGCCAACTACTTTTCCAATAAAAGTTCAGGGCTGATGACCCCTGGGGTTGTTAGAACCCATTTAATTATCCAGCATATTCTTGAACCAACTATGCTAGAAATAAAATTTTGTTAATAAAAATCATATTTTGGGTCCTCCCTGGTGGCACAGTGGATTAAAGCACTGCACTAAGAAGCTTAAGCCACTTCCGCATGAGTTTGATCCCCGCCTGCCCCGGAGGAGATCCACATGGTGTGGCAGACCTCTCCTGAACTGCCCACTGCTCCCCTTCGTTGATCTGCCTGTTCTGTTCCCCGCTCTGTTTCTGGTGAATCCTCTCACCCTCCACATCTCTGGCCTGTACCCCAGTTCTATATGAATAAATAAATCTTTAAAAAAATCATATTTTACATTCTCTGGGAAAGCTTGATAGCAAGTAACTTATTTTTGCAGAATTATTTTTTGGAGGTAATTTGTATTAAAACGCCGTAGAGCCCACATGCCCTATGGCCCAGCAATTGTCTAAGAGTTGATCCAATTTTTAAAGGGCTACCCGAAGCTTGAGCTACAGGAATAATCACTGCTTCCAACAACAAATGATTGAAAAGACCCCAATTTCCCAGCAGAGATTAATTAATCAGCCAAAATATACCTGTGTAATGGAACTTGCCCCATCCAAAGTAACAGACACCAACAGGAAGCACTCGCCAAACACTTTCTCTGACTAGAACCCACATGTTAAGTGGTACCTGCACCACCTCCTTTCTGTCTCCCCATGCAGCAGGAACCATCATCACCTTCATCTCACACAGCAGGAAATCAAGGAGAGTTAAGTCACTTGCCCATGGCCACCCAGACAAGTGGCTAGGATTTATACCCAGGCAGTCTGACTACAGACCAAACTCTTGGCCGTTCTACTGTACAGCCTCAAATGATGTCATTTAAAGAGACACTGTGGAAGCAAGACCAGCCCCATGCACCTGTTGATGATGCCGCATTAGGTAAAACAAGCAGATTATGAAACAGGACATGAAAGCTGACCCCATTTGTACACAGGCACATAAGCAAGGAGAGAAGGGTCTGGAAGAAAAACACTAACATCTTGGTGTAGATCATTGAGTGGGTGGAATTGTGTGTGTGTGTGTATGTGAGGAGTCTTCTGCTTGTATTTTCTGATATTTCTATAACAAATGTGCAAAGCTTCTATTAAGAAAAACATTTTTTTTTATTTTAGCATTAATGCCAACAGTCGCTTCCTAGCACTCATCCTCTGCAAACACCTGAGCTGCTGGCCTTCCATATGCCAGACACCACTGCATGCACAGGACTCCTCCAGCACCGAGCACTCTCCAGTGGGGAAGACACAGGATGCATTCTTCCCACTCTGCCCTTCAGCAGCCTGTCCACTGAGGGTCTCCTCTGGGCACTTGTGCCCACAGGGAGCTGCTGGATTGACAACACAGAGCTGTGAGCTGGAAGCGCCATGGAAGCTGGGGAACCCTGGCAGTTTCCCTCCTGGCTCCAGCTCCGGCCTGGGAGCCAAGCCCAGGGACCCTGGGAGTGTGAGATGCTCCACTCCCTGCCTCCTGGTCTATCAAGGAAGCACTTTACCAAGAAGCGTGGGGCAGACAGGCCTCAGGGAAGCAGGGTGCAGCCACAGAAGCCAGGGCCTCTCCCATCCTGTCAACCTGCTTCTGCGATCTCAGTCTAGTTAGTTCTTCTCTCTAAGCTGTCCACATGCCTATCAAATAAAGAATTTAAAACTTGAAAGGGAACTTAAAAGGCTCAAAATTATATATAATAGAGACATCAATAAGTAATACTCTCTGAGAACTACCGATTGGTCAGGCACTCGGTGAAATACTTAATATGTGTGAATTTATTTTAGTTAGTTCTCAGAGCCATCCTGACAGTCCCTGTAACAATTCCCACTTCATGGAAGCTGAAAGGAAGGTTGTGTGCGGTGCAGTCACTTGCACGGATAAGTAGCCGAGCAAGGATTTCTGTTTCTGTGCCTGACCCACAACACCACACCATACAACCTGACACCACATCTGGGACCCGGACTTCAACCAGATGGTTATCATTGCCACGTAACCCCACTGGGCCTCTGCCTTGCTTTGGAGAATTGAGACAGTGAGGATCTCCCCACTGGGTTCTATCCCTCACCCTAGAGTACAGCACCCAAGGGGCCACATACCCACTTAGGAAGCCTCCCTGTCAGAGGGGCCAGACAGACTGCCATGCACATTTGCTTTAAGCCAGCCCCAGTGACCACAGGCAATGGCCTTCCTGCTGTACAACCTACACCAGCAACTTCCCTCTAGACCTGGCCTTGTGCTCTGGCCACCAGGGCTGCTGGCCCAACAGGGACAGCTCAGGCCGCAGGAGTCCGGCTGGCACTGACGGCTGGAACCTGCCCCAAAATCCTTTCAGGTCATCTCAGAGGATCTGGACCATGGGCCTGGGTCTCCTGGAGACTCAGAACAGCAAGAAGGTGAATCAGGCAAGTGTACCCTTAAGCGTTCTCTCGTTCTCTCGGCTGCCTGCTGGAGCTGGGCACAGGATGTGTGCGTGCGCTGGTGTGGGTGTACCGGTGTGTGAAGAAGCGCACGTGTGGCACCCAGACGGTAGCGGATGTGAGTGTGAGTGTGCGTAAACGCGTGGCTCGCAGTGTGTGCCGCCGAGATCGCGACCTGAGGCAGGCTGCGGTCGGGCGGGGAAGGTCTCCTCCCCCCGCAGCGTTGAGAAATCTCAGTGAGTCACCGAGTAGTTCTGCATATTAATGAGCTCGCTCTCTGCGAGGGCAGGAGCGGATTTAAAAGAGGCCTGGGCGGGCGGAGGGAGGCTGTGGAGAGAGCGCAGAGCCGCGCGCAGAGCAGAGCGCACAGCTCCAGCCCCCAGGCACCCACCGACGGGTGCGGCTAGAGCCTGCGGAACCAGGAGGCGCGTTCCAGGCGGAGAGGCGAGCGGGGCGGCATCTCCCGGTCGCGGCACCGACGCTCGGGCGCCCTCCTCGAGTCCCAGCGCCAGCGCCGCGCCCCTCCGGCCAGCATGAGGCTTCTGACGGCCGCGCTGCTTCTGCTGCTCCTGGCGCTGTGCGCCGCTCGCGTGGACGGTGAGTGCCCAAGCGGTCCCAAATTCTGCCCCGTCCTGTTCTGGGAAACCCAGGTGCCAACTGTTAGCTGCCTGTGGCGCCAGGGTTTCTGGGTGGGCACCGAGGGCGGATTAGGGGAAGGAGACCCCGCGCACAACTGAGAGGGCCCGCGCGCTCTCCCGCAGGGTCCAAATGCAAGTGCTCGCGAAAGGGGCCCAAGATCCGCTACAGCGACGTGAAGAAGCTGGAGATGAAGCCAAAGTACCCGCACTGCGAGGAGAAGATGGTTATGTGAGTTCTGGCTCCTCACTCCGGGCTTGTGCGCGCTGTCTTAACCCGGTGCTGGGACACAGCATGGGACTGGGTCAGACTAACAAACATTTCTCTCCCACTTTGGCAAGGCCTTGGGGAAGCCTTTGTAATTGCCGGGCGAGTCCTTAGGTCGCTGGCGCGACAATCTGGAAGAGTTTGGAAAGAGGGTCACTGTCCAGTGTCCGGAAACTGCCTCTTGGAAGAGTTCACCCTTGCTAGGATTCAAATGAGTGGCCTCTGTGTCCGCACTGCCCACCTTCTCAGGCCACCAGGGGTTAAATAGATCCTGTGTGCCCACTCAGAACACCCAGACTGAAATCATTCAGAATGCCCCCAGAACTACTGAGCTTGCACCCAAACTCAGAGGCTTGCTATCTCTGTTAGAGAGGGATTAAAACAAACATTGTCTCAAGTGCTCAGACTCTTCCTTTAGAGCTTTTTTTCTCCAAGCAAGGGGCCTTGGATGTCCGGCTCAGGGACTCTAGTGATTTCATTTTTAAAATGACCATGGCTCTTTGATCACCAACTGGGTCTCCTGTGGGTGGGTGAGTCTGAGCAGTGCTGTGCAGAGTTTCTGCTGGGGTTAATGTGCCACGCGGCTGGAGCTCTGCTTGGTGGGGATGTGGGGAATATTTTAAAAACTGGGGCAGAGTGAGAGAACACTGAGTTTCCTTGCTCCTTGCCTTCCCAATTAACCACTTGAGGCCAGCACCACTGTTTCCCCATCAATACGCTCTTGGCCAGGAAGGGAGCCCTTGGCAAAGCAGCTACCAAATATCTGCCACGGACCATTGGCCCCTCTTCCTCTCCCCCAGAAACAGGACACACTTTATTCTCAGTCTGGGCAAGTGCCTTCCGTCCAGCGCACCCGCTGGCCCGGAGGCCTCCACACAGAGTCAGTGAAGGCAGCCCCCAGCCCCCACTGCCACCAGGAGGCTGCAGTGGCTGGGCCTGAGTTGAACCCCCTGCCTGCCTTCCGGGCACCTAAATTAACCTCCCTGTCCCTGCCCCTTGCCTTGGGAGACTCAAGCCCAAAAAAATCCCCAGAAAATCTTTTGTATTTGGTGTCAGGGGTTAAATGGGCTGGAGGAGGAGCTACAAGACCCTATTGGCTTCCAGTTTGAGGGCTAAACATGACAGGGACATTGCAAGTTAAATCTGCATTCCTCCAAGTGCTGAACAACACTCCATATGCCAAGAGAGTTTCAGAAATCTTGGAGGGGAGGGGGACAGGGTATGGGTTGCAGTGACATCTCAAAGGACAGAAAATACACTTACTCTTTTACCTGGCTACACTTCTCCGGGTAGAGAGGAAGCTGACAGCTGACAGTGCATGTGAAGGCACTGTCTTTCTGTAGCTTGTGAAAACCTGCAGCGGCCTCCTGAGGTCCCGATACCATCATCCTCCCCTACACCTCTGCCCCACACCTACCCCGGAGGCCGGAGGCTCTGCAGCCTTCTCAAGCTCCTAAGAATCTCTAAGAAAAGGGGCCAGCACTTTTTGCCAAAGCAGGTTTTCAGTCACAAAGGCTAAATAGAAGCAAGTTTTCCAACTCACCCTGAGTCACCCAGGAATCTCTGCTAAGCCTGGGGTGGGGAGCAATCTGTTTTGCAAGTGGGAGTCCTTGCCCTCAGAAAAGTTCAGGAAAGTCCAGACTCTAGAAAGGGCGATTTATGTCATCTGTCCACTGAGCTCTCACCAAAATGCTTGGGACCCCAGAACTTCTAAGGACAGAGACATAGGACCCAGAATTTCTGAGTTATTGCTGAGACCAGAAATCCTTATGCCTTCATCCCACAACCAATTTCACAGTCCCAATATTGTGACAAGACATCTGAGCACTGTGGTAGGATGGCTGGGTATCTGCTTCTACTCCCCTACCTTCAGGATTTGGGGTGTCAGCCTGCACACTGACCTAATTGAGAAGGGGAATTTTACAGTCTTGCCATATCCTTTCATTCCAAGAGCAAAACAGAAATGCATTGGCAAAATCAGCGCAGATTGTTATTGTACTTCATACAGAGGAGGAAGTCATTGAAATCCCCTCTGAATCCAGCCCCACACTGGAGACCCAGAAGAAGGAACAAGGCCCAGGGAGAAACAGGTCTCAGAGAGGGCCTGGCATTAGCAAAGAGTTGTTCCAGCCCCTGGAAGCATAGGTCATAGTGGAAACACAAAGTTCAGAGAAGAGACAAGATGCCCCTGAAATATTCTGCACTCATTCTAGCAGCAAGATTTGATTTTCTCAATTAGGAGACTGAGTTCATGGCAGCCCTGCTCCCTTCCAGATCTTGGCCCACGCACCCTGACACTTTATCTTTGAGGACATGTGGGGGACAAACTCTCCTTTCTCTCTCCCTTTCCATTCTTCCTACTGCAACTTCCAGCCACCCTCTATTGCCCCCTCATTCCCCATCACCCCAGTCCACTTCTATATCTTGTTCTCGCTGAGACCTCACTTCCCGCCACTCCCCGGTGGTCCTTCCTTCTCCAATGTCGTCCTTCCATCTCTAACCAGACGCTTCTCCTGTGGCCCTGACTGGCCCTGGCTGAGGGGGCCCAGACATGGGCAGCACTGTCCCTCTCCAAACTAGAACCCAAACACTAAGCTTGTCTTCCCCTTTGGCCATCTCCTCTTCTATGACAGTTACTAATTATCACAACTATTCAGTGTGTGCCAGGTGCTAGGTACTTCTCATAGATTAGAACCTTTAATCATCCCAGTAGCCCAAGATGTAGGTCCCATTGTTGCACCCATTTTACACATGGGCAAACTGGATTCAGAACAGTTACCCAGGAGCCAAGGACAGACCTAGAATTCAAACCCAGGCTCTATGTTCTGTCGATGTTTCCTGTTTCTCTACCACACAGCTAGGCCTCCACTGGGTATTGGCACATTGCCTGAGAGAGGCCAGAGGGAGCTCTTATCCTCCTGGGTGAGTGTGGGATAGCTATGCTTCATCCTCAGGAACCAAAATGGGCTTCAAAGCCAACAAGCCAGCATCAGGATCAGTCGGTGCCAGGACCCAGGAGACTGTGCAGAGGATGTGAGGTTTGAAGGATCTGACACTGCAGTATGTGCAGGGCATGTCCTGGCCCCACGTGGATTCAGGGGAAGAGGTTTCAGCACGTGCACCTTGTGGCATTAGCTATGGCGCCGCCCCTGCTTCAGAAGAGCCAGAGAGTACCCCAATGTCCAGTCCTCAAGGGCAATGTGGGCCCTGCAGACATCACTGTGCATGAGGGTCAGGGTGGGGCAACCCTAGACTTGAGAACTTGGAGGGGTGGGTGGAAGTGAGGGCCTCTCACCCTGACAGGCTTAGACTCTAACATGGATCCAGGGATTAAGGGACACATAGAACCTTCCCAAGAGCCAGCCAGGGAGTGGGAACTTTGGCTCTTTTGAAAGGAGAAATCTTTACCCTGATTGGGAGACTTGCTTTGGGACAGGCCAGGGTCACCCATGGGCCACATTGAGGGGCTGTCATTGAGGTTCCTCAAACCTCCATCCTGTCCTGCTCCATTTCAGCATCACCACCAAGAGCGTGTCCAGGTACCGAGGTCAGGAGCACTGCCTGCACCCCAAGCTGCAGAGCACCAAGCGGTTCATCAAGTGGTACAACGCCTGGAATGAGAAGCGCAGGTATGCCCGCCTCCTCCCACCTGACTTCCCCCTTCCCAACAGACCCATGTTCTAGGCCCCTTTAGATCGTCCTGCCCCATAATAGCCAGACAAGCAGACACCAATACCTGCTTACAAAAGGGCCCTAAGGCCTAGGAACTAACTCGTCACTCAACGAAGCAGGCCCCTTCTCTTGGACAGACAGTAGTCAGCATCAAACATTTCTCCTCTTGTGGACCAAGCTTTCTCATTTTAACTTTTACATTATAGGCTTAATTCATCTTATTTAACTTAGGTTCTGTGACCCCAGCTTCCCACTGTCAGACGGCTGAGTGAGCACCTGGCCTGATTCTCTCTGACTCTTGTGGAGTGAACCATGACCACTCATATGTCATGTTTATTAGCTATAGAGCTAATAAGCATCTCAAGGTGCTGTGTGCCCTCTGCAGCTCAGAAACCAGACGGACTTCTGCCCACAGAGAGGGAGGGAGGGGCCTTGGGTTTCACCCTTTAAAATCAGAGCCACTCCTAACTCTAGGGGGCAGCAGTGAGCCCTGAGCCAGATCCCTGCCCTCTGTGGGATGTTTCCCTGTTATCAGAAGATGGCTTCTCAGCTGTGATGCCCTGGGTCCTGTGTCTGGCCTAATGGAGGCATGTTCCTGGCCGCCCCCCCACCCCATACCACATAGAGGTGAGCCTGGCCTGGAGCAGGTCAAGTCCTCCTGCATTCAGCCTATCACACCAGTAGTAGGTGTAATAGAGAAACACACACGGGGGCGATGCCTGCCCCTCGGCCCACTGAGGGCTGAGCGGGGTGGGGAGGGACTGACTTGAGAGCCTGGCATGTAGTCAGAGCTCCAGTGTCTCCTTCCCATTCCCTATAGCGGGCACCCCCGCCACCGAGAGTTCCCAGCCTGACCCTTTCTTTCTCCCTAGGAGCGGCCCATGGCCAGCTCTCCCACAGCTGACACTTGGGTCCAGCCCCAGTACCTGAGCTTTTCTTGCCGCTCCCAAACTGCCTCATCTGCAGTTCCTTGAAATAGAAAGTGATGAGAGAGAGAGATTATTTCTATAAATCTGATAGGAATGCAGCCCTCTGTCTGGCCAGAGCAGGTAACTCACATGGCAAAAGCAAGACCTGTCCTGTCCACTGCCTGTCACCCTCCAGGCTGTGCGTCATCAAAAGTGGAATGAGGCCAGCCCTAGGCCTGTTCAGGGGAGTCTGAGAGCATGGGACTGCTGGGAGGCCCTCAAGCCTTTGGTGAACTGTGTCCTTCCCCCTCCCCTTGGGCCACAGCTTTGATGGAGAGAAGGCAGGCCTGGGCCCTGCAGCCTTTTTTATTTCTGCAATTTTCAGACGAGAGCAAAGTGAGCACCTTGTTGTCCAGCCTCCCATCACTTCATTACAGAATGAGTTCATCCCTTGCTCTGGAATTGCTGAATCCCTCTCCCACCTCACCTCCTCCCAACCTCCCTTTCAAACACCCCCCCCCCAAAAAAAGGTTTATAATGGCTCCATGAATGGAGCTAAAGGAACAAGCTGAAGTTCCAGACCTAGAGTGAGGAAGAAGAAGGCAACTAGCAACTCGGGGCCCAAGGAGACCCCTGGAGAGCTCTGAGCTCTGAGCCCAGGGCTCTGGGCTGCCCAGTTGATTACAGTGCATGATTGGTGACCTTACTCAGAAAGCAGGAAGGAGGCCGAGGGAGCTGTGGACTGTGTGATGTGCAGTGCCCTAGGGCAGCCACTGTGTAAAATGAGAGGGATTAAAATACCTAAACAGACATGGTGAAGAGAAAGGTCAACTGTGAATGCACACAAGCCTGAAGTGGTCCAGTAGTGACTGGAGAAAGTGACCACTGGGCACAGGCTCCCTGATGCCCCAGCACCACCCACCACTGTTTTCAGGCAGTAGCCCCGGTGTCTGGAGTATATGCTTTCTTCGAACAAAATACAAAGATCAAGCGGAGGCAGACGATGCCCCCACCCATTTTCTCTAGGCAAGTGCAGATAAGGAAATGGACAAGAGGGTAGGAGCAGCCCACCATGCTGGAGACTACTGTGCCCACCACTGACAGTCAGTCAGTATTCACTGGGTGAAGCTTAAATCTCTTGTGCCTCAGGCTCCTCAAGTACAAAGAGAGTTTACTGCATAAGGCTCTGAGGATAAATGAGATTGCAGAGATGGAGGCTCTTAAGCAGGGACAAAGCCCTCTCTGGTGAGCTTACTGGCGTGTGTGCTGGCATCCTTCAGAGGCTCCCACCTTCTGCAGCCCCCTCACTGCAGGGCTGCTGTAGTCCAGGAGGGGAACTCCCAACCAGGAGAATGAAGCAGCTTAGCAGTCGGCCTGAGCATCGCCCAGTCACGGCCTGCGCCACTTACAGTGTGTTTTCTCCTCCTAGGGTCTACGAAGAATAGGCTGACAAACCCTGGATGGGGAAATTTCACACCGGTTGGGACAGGAGCAAAAGACTTTGCAAATTAAAAACAAACAAACAAACAAACAAATCCTTTCTTTCTCACAGGTATAAGACACAAATTACATATTGTTACAAAGCACTTTTTACCAACGGTCAGTTTTTACATTTTATAGCTGCGTGGAAAGGCTTCCAGATGTGAGACCCTTCTCTTTTGCGCTCCAGACTTCATTACAGGCTGCTTTTTACTGAAAAGGGGGAAACTCATGCCTTTCCTTTGTAAAAAAAAAATGCTTTTTGTATTTGTCCAGACATCTGAGCTTTATAAGCGCCTGGGAGGAACAGGGAGCTTGGTGGAGACGTTTCATAGCAGCGTGGCTCTGTTCCTAGCACAGGAGCTTCCGCTCCCAGGTCCTGGCGCCTCAGCACAGCTGCCGCCAGCTCTCCTGGGCTAGGGTGGGCTGCGGACTCCACAGTGGCCCCTGGGCCTGGCGAGTGGGGGCAGATCTCTCTCTGCCTCTGTCCTTTGAGGAACTGGGTTTGGGCTGCAGGGCAGTGTGCTTCACCCTCCGGGATTAAATTTGACACTAGGAGACACTGCCAAGATCCTGTAGTGGTGAAGCAAACGGTCCTTAAGGAAGGGGCTGGGTCTTCTCTTCGACCTGAGGTTCTGCAAAAGGTTCACTCCTTCCATAGTAATGCTTTGGAAGCACGTTAAGTCCCCAATACCATTAGCGAAGACCTTAGGAGAAAACTTACAAATCTATGAATATTCAAGATATAGCTACAGACATGCATTCTGTTGACAAGAGAGAGCCTTAAAGCATGTTTCCTTCCCCCATCTGTGTGGGGCGTGCAGCACTGAACCATCTGTCTGTGACCCCCATGTGATTTTCATGTGAAACAGTGCAGCCTCTTGTGCAAGCTAAGACTACCGCGCACCCTGTCCTTTGTAAATAGACTGAAGAACGCCCTCCATCCTCCGCCCCGCCAGTACGTGCCGCGTTGGGCTGGCGTGGACTGTGTCATGGAGATGTCAGAAACCATTAGTGTCGCATGCACGTTTCATATTCTTTCTAAGGCAAAAAGAAGTAATAAAATATATTTGAAATGTACCAAGATTCTAGGCTTTGTTCTTCTATTTAATGAAGCCAGGATGACAACCGAATAAAAATCTACCACATCCTGAATAAACGGGCACAGATGCACTGAAGGAAAACTGGTGTGTCCCAAATACCTGTCAACACTGTCACCTCTGTGGAAAGTCGTTCCAGTCCCAGAGACAGAAGCCAGGTCTGAAGGCCAAGCTTCTCCCCACCAGACCTGCACATGTAGGGACAGCTCCCTCGGAGCAGCCCGGTCAGTTCCTATGGGACTGGAGAGCCACACTGGTCATTCACAGAAGACAGTGGGTGAGTCTAAATCCCTGAGGTTCAGGGCCCCACTATTTCAGTGGATTTGGGGGTGAGGGGAGGACAGGAGTGCCCACCTGTGGGGCTCTGGTCCCAGAGCTGCGGGGATGGTGTCTGCTTCTGCAAGATGGGTTAGCCCAGACAGAGCAGGCAAAGCACTCAGGCACCAGGACACAGCGAGCGCTGGGCAGGCGCAGGGAATAAGCACAGACTGGGCCACGGTGCATAAACTGCCCAGGGTCCCACATCTAGCTGTGTCCGTCAGCTAGGCCTGCTAACCGGTTACTGCGCCCGCCTGGTCACCACATGCCTCATATGCTTTCATCCTGTCTTGTCTGCCACACTAGGTGCCGGGAGCCAGCCGCCCCTGCCCGCTTCCCCTCGGAGGGTGCTTTCCCGAGGTGCACGCTGTCCTTACAGGAACACACAGCATGAACCTGCCCTAGCAGGCTCTGTGGGGTGCTACCACAGCCCCATTCCAGCACAGCCTCATCTGGCAGCACCCTCACACTAAATGTATTCCTGAGGAAAGTGAGGACCAGGGAGGTTGAGAAAGTTGTCCATGGTCACTCAGCTGAATGCTCCCATGAATAAACCTGACAGCAGGATCAGGATCCAAAGCCATGCTGGACAGGAACAAACAGAATGCCGGGGATTGGTCCTGCCTGTCCTTTCATAACTGAGAAGGAAGAGAGACCGGACAGGAGAGTCCAGAGACCACAGACAGAACAGAACACAGGGAAGCCCCAGTAGAATGGAGCATATGGAGGCAGGGGTAACAGAGACCAGACCCCTCTTTGCAGGAGCTCTGTGGTCTGCTTGGCCCCAGATCAGTACAGTTGGGCTTCACAAAGGAGGGGCCTCTACCAGAAGTCAGCTTAAAAAGCCCCTCCCCCTCAGTCTTCAAACCACCACCTCCCCATACCCCACCACGAAAAGGCTGCTCATTGCTGGCTCCACACACAGGAGTCTCTGTTTCTCTCTGAGTTTCCAGTTTCACGTCCCACGTACTGCACACACCTAGGTCCCGCTCAGGGGTCTCCTCTTTGCCTCTGAGGTCCTAGCACCAGCACAGTGGTCTGGCCTCCCAAATCCCAGGCTGGATTCTTGACAACAGTAACCACGCCCCTGGCCACATGATGGTCACTAACCTGAGGGCCCACCCCACACGCCCTGTGTGCTCTGCTCCTGCCCGCCTGTCAGGCTGTGCCAAAGGCCCAGAAGAGTCAAGCATGGACAGTGCTCTTCAAGCACCAGCCGTCAGAGAGCAGAAGGAGACATGGTCGTGTGTGGATGGATGTCTCCGCCCGACAGACTCTGTGCTCCTGAAGAACAAAGGCTGGTGATGCTTCTGTGCATGATCTGAACCCTGTTTGCCAACAGTGGTCTCAGCTGGGCCCCTAAGAAGGAGCTCTTGATCCCAGCACTTCACCAAACACTAAATGAAGGACTTCAAGTGCCCATGATGGTGCCCAGGGAAAGATGCCCTTTTGCCCACCTCCAGAGCTATTTTCCATAGATTCTCTGCTCTAGGTTTCCCAGCAGCCCTATTTCACCCACCACATTCCAGAAAGTAACCAGTTCAGCAAGCAAGGTCAGGCTGCCTGAGCAGCTCTCCTGGGCCTCCCTGGGAGATGAGAGTACAGGGCATCTTAGGCCCTGGTGCAGAACCCACCTCCAGAGCCTCACTCCCTCACACAGGCATGTTCAGGAATCATGTGCCACGGCCCTGATCCCCCACTCCTCGCGAGGCAGAGCTGCTCTGCTGCTCCAGGCCTGACTTCTGGACAGCCGAGTCCTCAGAGAGCACCAGCCCAGCTCCACAGACCCACTTCTTCCCCCAGCCAAACCTCCTCAGACCCCTTCCACACTGTGTGTTTACCTTCAACCTGGGTCAGAACCAGCTACATAATTTCAAGGCTTGATGTAAGGGCTCTGCTCAAAAGTTATTAAGAATTTCAGGTGGCACCATTAGCCCAGGGCTCTGTGCACCTCACATGCCTCACACATCTGGACACGTGATTTGGCCCTGAGTTACCACATGACTTGCACTGCAATTCAACAGTTTCACTTAAACTTGAGCATCTAACAAGATGTGTTCTTAGAAGCCAGGAACTTTGTCTGACACTTCTTTACACAACTTCCCAAGTCCTGTGATAGCACTTAGGAGGCCCTCAAATGCTGTGACAAGCTGAGTCTAAGAAGCATCCTGAGAGGGCCTCCCTGGTGGCGCAAAGGATTAAGGCTCTGCACTTTGAAGTTCTCAGCAGTATCAGCATCCACAGCCACTGCAGCACAAGTTCAGTCCCCGGCCAGGGAGGTGACCCATATGATCCCACAGACCTCTTCTGTCTCACCCACTGCTCCCCTCAGCAGTGTATTTCAGTCAATCTGCCTGTTCCGCTCCCCACTGTCTCTGGTGAATCCTCTCACCACCACCCTACCTCTGGCCTACACCGCAGCTCTTGTATGCATAAATTAATTTAATTTAAAAAGAAGTGCCCTGAGAATATACCCTCTGCAACGTTCACTGAGCTACCACTGTGTGCAAAGCACAGTGCTGAGCAGCAGAGAGTAGAGCAGCTTGGGAAGGTGTGCCCCTTGTCCTTAAGGGCAGAGTTCTGTCACCCACTTACCCACAGCGCCTTGTTATAAAGCGCACGCTCAGGGCAATAGACAGAGCTGGACACTAGGACCAACCCAGTCTGCCAGGGAGACAAACACACCACCTGAAACTACATACTGAGTTAAGAATTCTGCTAGAGGGCTGCACAGCAGGGTCTGGTGGTACCCCAAAGGGACGCCATGCCTTGGAGGGGTAGCCCTGACCCAAGACCTTGTCGGTACTAGCAAGGCTCATGGCAAGTCACAAGTTGGCCTCAGGCAACAGTAGGAAGTGTGGATTCCATCCTGGCTCTGATGTGATGGTGATATCTCATGAGCACATGCATGAGACAGGCTGACAAAGACCAAGAGTGACTCAGGGAATTCAGAGGGGGTCTCAGGAAGGAACTTGGTCCTGCTAACCAGTCACAGAAACCAGCCACAGCTCCAACCTCCACTCCCATGTCAACCATCTCTCTTCCCTCCTTCGCCATCACCTCCAGTCTGTCCTGCCAGAGAGCCATGGCTAGGGCCACCCCAACTTCACAGTAAGGAAATCCACCAGAGCGTTTCTGATCACCATCCCACACAAAGAAGATGCTATGTACCATTTTTAAGCACTTAGAGGGATTTCCTTCCCCCTCCCTTCTTTTTGGAAACGTTGAATAAATATTCGTGAATGTGATCAAGCAAGCAGTAATACCCAAAGCAATTGTCTTACTTTCAAGGCATCAACAGGCAGCTTCCTTCATGCCAAACTGCCCTAACCTGTGCCACCAGAGGGCAGCAAAGCACAGGGAGGAGTTCCCCAAGGCCTGCGACACCAGCAACACAGGGACTGCCATAGTCACTGCTTTCTGAGAGCCAGACTCTGTGCTGAAGGCCTGATATGCCTTTTCCCATTGAACCCTGGCTCTATTACTAGCTCCACTGTACAGATGAGGAGACTAAGGCTCAGTGAGGTGAATATATTCCCCATGTTCACTAAACCAGCAGGGTGTTCTAGAGCAGGGAGTTTGCAAGGTATAAGCTTCAGTCCCCAGCCCACGGAAGACTCTGGGACCTCAACAGGAAGCTCACCCGCTGTCAATAATCCCTGTTAACTTGGGCAGCACAGACAACCAGCCCCAGCCAGGTTTGCTTTGCATGCTGCTCATTTCCTCTTTTCAAGGCAGGAGACTGGCAGCCACGTGCCCCTGCGGGCTCCTCCCACTGACCCAACAAAGTGAGCCCTGCGCTAGGCTGCCAGGACCCACACTTGGTAGCCACAAATTCTGCTGGAATGGAAGCAGCCAGAGATTTTTTTTTTTTTCAAACCCCACAACCACCACCAAACAGGATGAATAAACAAAATCACTATGATATCGTCAAATTCAACTGAATTTTCACTTAGAAACAAGTTGGTGGTTTTTAAAAGTGAATTCAAAGCTGGATCTAAAATAATTAGCTTTGGGCCCTCCCTGGTGACGCAACAGGTTTAAGCACAGCACTATGAAGCTGTCTGCAGCCACTGCAGCACGAATTCATCCCCAGCAAGGGAGGTGACCCACACCAGAAAGGCCTCTCCTGTCCCATCTGCTGCTCCCCTCAGCGGAGTATTTCATTCAACCTGCCTGTTCTGCTCCCCGCTCTGTCTCTGGTGAATCCTCTCACCCCTGTAGTCTTGTATGCATGAATAAATAAATCTCTTTTTTAAAGAATTATTTATTTATTCATATAGAACTGGGGTACAGGCCAGAGATGCGAAGGGTGAGAGGATTCACCAGAGACAGAGTGGGGAGCAGAACAGGCAGATCTACAAAGTACACTGCTGAGGGGAGCAGCGGGCGGGTCAGGAGAGGTCTGCCGCGCCATGTGGATCTCCTCCAGGGCAGGCGGGGATCGAACTCATGCGGAAGTGGCTTAAGCTTCTTAGTGCTGTGCTTTAACCCACTGCGCCACCAGGGAGGGCCCAATAAATCTTTTTTTATCTTGTTTGACCATGAGGAAAGTTGATATTCTGGGATAAGTAGTAAGCACAGCTCATTTCGATACCGATGAGGCTTCTCATCTAATCTGTAGTCACTAAACCCTCCCACCTCCCCAGAAAAAGGACAGAA